GACAAGACAAAATCTTTACTGCGTAAAAGGGTGGCCCAGGATGGTCATAGCTCTTATCAGGCCAAGACACTGTCTCCTGGAGCTAGCCACTATTTATTGAACACACAGTTTTTTGGAGGGGTAAAGGATGGTGCAGGGAACAGTGGAGGGGAAAGTACTGATGTGAGCAGGGTCCTAGCAACAAGAGAACAAGACATTCTAGCTTATTGGTTAATGAGAAATTTGTTTTTTCCTATAGGTTAATTTTTACTTCTATAAAAGTTTTGTGTATGAGTTATGATGCCCTTAGCTGCACTATTGTCTTGTGGTCCAAGACGTCACGGTGTCATGGATCATTGAGACCTCCGCTGTGACCAGTGGCGTGGAGAGTTATTCCTTTCCCACACACCAGCTGCTGGCTCTTCAGGCAAGCCATTGTGGGATAATAGGTAGACTCAGGCTTTTATATGAAAAGCCGATTTATGAATTTGTAGCTTGCTTAGGGTGGTCTCCATCAGTATATACCTTTCTAGGTATTTGGAGAGTCATGTTGACATGCTGTGTTTTTGGTCATCAATATAATCTTTATTTCTTTTCTACTTGTACCTGGAAATTAGATTTTTACCGTACTTTTTTGTTTGTTTGGTTGGTTTTTTTTGGTACCGGGGATCAAACTCTGGTCCTTGAGCTTGTGCAGCAGGGGGCAAAACCACAGAGCTAAATCCCCGGCCCCTTACCATGTACTTTTGCTTATTTGTCTCATTTTTGTAATCTTATCTAAAGCAACATAAAACTGTTGGAAAGAAATAAAAACTGAACTTGTCCCATTCAATGGCAGAAAATAGACAACTATTAATATTTAAAATATTGTTCACCATATTTTAATATTTTAAAAATGATAATGCAAGTACTGAAAAATGATCACCAAAAATGTGTAGCAAAAAATGTTCTCTTACCCTACTGACTTCAGTTTCTCTGGTTTCCCTTCTCAGAGACCAGCTCTGGCACTAATGAGCTTTATTTATTTAATCTAGTGCTTTTTAAGCATATCTAGTCATTCTTTGATAGCCACTTGGTATTACATTTTATCAATATATGGTATATTGTTAATTTTCCTCAATGTCCAGTCTTTTAACTTATGTCTGGTATTTGCTAGTAGAAACGATAAAATAAAATATCTAGGATCAAAGAGGGAATTTCATGTTATTAAAGGAACACTTGCAAGTCACCCAACAAAGGGAATTCAGCACCTAACAGAGCCTCAAGTCGATAGCAAGGAATTCACAATGGTAGGCAGTCAATTATCCTGTGCCTGGAACATGTCTTGGCACAAGTAACACTGACATTTAAATGGATGAATGGGTGGATGGATGGCTGAATGCTAGTCTACATAATGTAATATAGTTTGAAAATAATAAAGAAGATAAAGGACACTTTGTATCATGGATTCCAACATAAGTTCCTAGGGGATGCTTGAGAAATCTCATCAAATATATCACAGGTGGCAGGGAAAGGTTAATTTTCTGGCCTGGCAAAAATGAAGATAGTGTCCTGCACAACCCCATAAATATTTAGTAGAGCTGAATATTGGAGGCAGTTAGTTTTGGTAAAACAATAAGACAGTGTGTTAAGTCACTGATGCACCACATCATGTAAATTGCAAGTGCAATATCTGGATATCAGTGAGGGAAGAGTTAAGTTTCTTCCTAATCTTAAGATTGGGATTATGGAACAGAATTGGGGGCTAGTTTCTGCAGAACTAAAGCTTCAAGAATCAGACCCCCAGTTGACAGACATCTAAACCTCTCCCTGTTCTTGTCTTTTTCCTGGTCTCTTTTTTCTTATTCCTCCTCCAGCACTTTCTGTGGAACTGATAGCTCATGTCAATCATGATCCAGAAAGGTGCTCAAGGGATTTCCACTGAGCACTTTGTTTTCCTTTTCTGATTGATCTACTTAGCTGTGGTGTATCTTAGGATCTGGACTCTTCATCTCTTTTGGCCTAAACTTCTACATACAATGTTTGGGCCACACTAGATACCAGTATTTTATTGTAATGGAATTATAATAACTAGTTGGATGGAAAGTCTGTGAGCGAGTCTAGAAACAGACCCAGCATATACTGATATCTAAGCAATGTGCAATGTGGAAAAGATGGACTCTTAAAATAAGTGGCTATGAATCAACTGAAAATTCATAGAGAAATATTGATCCTTAATCTATACCAGATAGAAAAATCAATTCTAGAGGGAACATAGGCCTAAATGTAAAGTGGAAGTAATATAAAATATTGAAGGTAATGTAACAATATCTTCCAGTATTGGGTTAGGCAAAAATTTTTTCAACAGGACACAAAGAGCACTAAACTTAATTGGAAATGTTAACTAGACTTTATTGAAAGTGAAAATTTGAATACCTTGAAAATTTGAATTTCCTGTTAAATTAGTGCCAAAGTAATCCATATAGTTGGAGAACATATTTAAGCGAAATATCTGAGAAAGGACTCATGCAGGCTATAAAATAACTTGTAATCTTGTAAGAAAAAAGATGGATGACTCAATTTTAAAGCAATGAGGACATTCAAATGATCAATAGCCACAGTTTACACATCATTAGTAATTAGGGAAATCCATTAAAACCATAGACGGTAGTATGCATACTCAGCACAATGGCACCCAATAAACACACACCTCTGCCACAACTCCCAACAAACCAATGATATTGGTAAGGATGTATAGCCATTGTAATTTTTGAACATGACTGGTGAATTTGCAAAAGAATGTGACCTTATTTTTTATTGTTTGTGTGCTGGAGATTAAGGTCAGAGCCTGATACAAGTGTTCTCTCAATGAGATACATCCTGAGCTCTGGTATATAAATTCAGAGAATGGTTTGGCACTTTCTGCTAAGGTTAAAATTATGCCTTCTTATCACCTGAAAATCATGGCCTTAGGAGGTAGAATTGATTGTGAATGTCTACCAAACAATGTGTACATAAATTTCTATAATACAACAGGCACTGAAATATCTACAATGATTTTATTCATAATAGTAAAAAATGGGACAAAACCCAAAAGACAACCCAGAATAATTAAATTTAGTGTATATATATATACATTTAGTATATACATATTAGTATATACATTTATATTTAGTATTTAGTATATACATATATATACAATTTAGTATATACATATATATACATACAATGGAATACTACACAACAATGAAAAAACAAATTACAAGTATATACTCACGTGAATAAATCTTAGAAGCATAATTTTGATTGAAAAATATACTTCAAAATATACATATTATATAATACAAGTAATACAAAATTCACAAACTTGTCCATGGTAGTAGGATCAGAAAAAAATGAACTCTAGGAGTTATTGACTGGTAAGAACCCAAAGACCTATTCCATATTGTCAGCAGGACCACATATTTTGGTCTGGGTGGTAGTTGCATAGGTTCAGGACTGTTCATAAAGTGGACATCCCTTGGCAAATACTTCTTGTAGGGAGGAGCTTCACAGTATAAATAATTTGATCACTCAAAAACAGCACGGCAGTACCATCCTGACAATCCAATTTCTAAAAATCACATGAAATATATACTTCATCACTCATTACAGTGAATCTAATTTCCATGCTACTACCCTGGAACCAGTATCACCCAATAGCTCTTGAATGAGTGCATAGGCTTCAGTCTTGGCTTTCTCTGGAGTATCTACTCATCTAGATAAAAGGAGATAGAGTGTTGAGGAGTGTTCCAAAGGAGAGAGAGCTAAAATGAGACCAGAGATGGAGTACCTTGAGTTTAAGTATGGGTAGCTAGTCTCAGTCCCTCGAAAGAGATTTAGAAGTCTTCAAAGAAGGTACTCTAAAGTACGAGATTTTGCATTGTTTATGCATTTGTAAAACGATAATAAGCTGTATGTATAAGATTCTTTCACTTTATTATATGTAGTTGTACCTAAATTTTAAAAAACAAACATCTATTATTAAGCAGTTACTAAGTGAGTAACAAGATAAAATGATGTAAGGACTAATCAAATATATAATGTTGACCAAAATGTAGGATACTGAGGCCCATCTGATAAGCCACAAGGAAGAAGCCCAAGTTGAAAAGGGACTGGATTTAAGGGATGCTTAGTATATGATGAATGAATGAATGAATAATTAAATTTCATGAATCTGAAGATAATTACTTTTTGGAACACTATATTTGACCTTCGAGAAATAACTTTGGGTACTCACCCATTCAGGGATGTCCATTCCTGAGCATTTAATTTCCTGTTCATATTGAGACTTCTATGAAATCATCACTCCCCCCCCCCTTCTCCTACCACCCTTTGTCCTTTGATACATTTCTCTCTACATAGCTGTATCTTATCTGTCTGCATTGTATATATAAGAGAATTGCATGCACACACCTACAGACAGCGGACCAGCTTACTCTGAACAACAGATCATATGTGGGAAAAATTCCATAGATGTAATCAGAATGGAAAGTTTCCCCAAGAGTTATAAGGAAAAATTCCTCAAATTCTTCTTCCTAAAAACTCTTAAAATATCATATATGTTTAATTTTTATATTTATATTTCAAGAATTTATTGGTTTGTGCTATATAATGAAATAATGAAAGGTATGGATTAAAACAAGCAATTGAGAAAAGGTGAAAAAGAATCTATCACAAGGTATTGAAAGCCTGTAGTCCTTGATGTAGAGAATATATATGATAATGTAGTCAAGGATTAACTACTTGCAAAAAAAGAGCTATACTTTATTCCACATAGTCCCTACTTACTCTTTTGACATTAAACAGAAGAGTAGTCCTAATGAAATATTTTAAATCAAACCTTAGACATTTTGCAATTTCAGTTATGGGACATTAATTATATTATATATTCTGCATTAAGTGTAAGGGAATTATGAATGTAATAATTCTAACGTCAGAATCTTTTCTATTACAAGATTCTGAAATTGAGATTAAGATGAGTATTTCTGAGGTGGTTTATGTCAATTTGTTTTCACAAAGATGGTTAAAACTCTCTCCCGAATCTGCTTAGTTCTCACTCCATAGATGACAGGATTCAGGGCAGGAGGAACAATGACATAGAGATTGGCCAGGAGAATGTGAATGTACACAGGGACACTTCTGCCGAACCTGTGAGTCATGAAGGAGAAAAAAGCTGGAGTGAAGAAGACTAGAATGACACAGAAGTGGGAGCCGCATGTATTAAGTGCCTTGAGTCTGGCCTCCCGAGCAGGCAAGCAGAACACAGCTTGGAGTATCCTCACATAGGAGATGATGATCAGAACCACTTCGATCAGCACCATTGATATAAGAATTAGTCCAAATATCGTGTTCACCTTGATGTTGCCACAGGCCAGCCGCGCAATTCCCATGTGCTCACAGTAAGTGTGTGGGATTATACGGTGCCCACAGAAAGGAAGCCTCAAGATTCGGAACACCAGAGGGATAACCAAAATGAAATTGACTCCAAACGTCACCGCAAGGATGAGACTGATAGTTCTGTTAGTGAGAATGAGGCTGTACCACAAGGGGTTACGGATGGCCACATAGCGATCAAAGGCCATGGCGACTAATACAACAGTCTCCATGGCAGTGAACATATGAATAAAGAACATCTGGGCTATACAGCCCCCAAAACTAATCTCTCTTAAATTAAACCAAAATATGCCCAGCATCTTGGGAATAGTTGATGTGGACAATCCCAGATCAATGGAGCCCAACATAGCCAAGAAGTAAAACATAGGCTGATGAAGACTGTGTTCAGCCTTGATAACAAACAAGATAGCGATGTTCCCCACAAGGGCAATCAAATACACTGAGCAAAAAGGAAAGCCGATCCAAATGTGCATCTCTTCAAGGCCTGGAACCCCCAGCAGGAAGAAAGAAGGGGGATGGAACTTGGTGTCATTTGAGGGGGGCATCCCTCTCAGTTCTTTTGGAATCTGAGAGAAAGCAAACTATCAGACTATTTGAAAATACAAATATGAACAAAATATATAAACACACATATAAGTAAGATGTCATGAGGGACTTTCTAATGAAGTGAACTTTAAGCACATAATGGTATGCAAGGTTGTTTTAGGTTAATAATGAAAATAATATGTTTAAGACATGAAGTGGCACTGAATTGCTTTCTACAGAGAATATTATTTTATTTACTTGTATTTGTGGTTCTGGGGACTGAACTCAGGGCCTTGTGCAAGTGCTCTGCCACTGAGCTATACTACCAGCCCTTAGGAAGGATACTGGTCTAGTCACCTGGAGCACAGAGTGAAAGTGAGGACAACTGCTCTTCTTGAATAAGGCTATGCAACAAAGGCCTTAGGAAAGTCAGCAGCCCTTTCTTTGGGGAATCAGAAAGCAAATTTGTGAGACAGAGTAAGGACTACTACTCTTCCTCTCATTTTATTTTCTTCTTCTCTCCTGTTAGATGACTGTGTGATGAGTTGTAGGTAAGAGATAGCTCTGCTTGGGAGCCTTTTAGCTAAGTGAGACTCGGATAAGGTGGACAGAGCAGGGACATCCATATTTCCAAGGGCCTTTTCAAACTTTCCATTGAAATTCCTATAAATATTTAGACTAGAAATTTTGGATAAACCTAAAACACCATGTTTGATCTATGCTTTTGGGGAAACTGAAATTAAGAAGAAACAAAGTAGAAGACATTGTACCTATCAAAAGCATTCACATAACACCTACCTAAGTTTCTGTTACATGGTCTGAAGATACTTTGTTTATCACAGCTCCAGACTAATTTCAAGGGTGTTTGTCAATACGTCTCAGACTTCCTGCCCCTCATTTCCAGGGCCTCACCCCAGAAGCCTGCCATGAGCAGCATCACCTATCTCAGCCATGATCTGTGGTTACTTTTAGGATAGATTACTGCAGTATCTCCCCTTCTGATTTCATTCTGTTATCATCCTACAAAGGGAAGTTTATATTTCTGTTGCAGCAGGATACCTATTGCTGGCTGATGTCCCACAGGACCATTACTCTTGAGGTTTAGAAGTGTTTTCTTCATGAAAGAAAATATTTCATTCTCCTGTGACTACTTCTGAACCACGAGATGCTTACCTTTTGGTCTCTACTCTGTCCATCAGTCTCGGACCATCCCCACAGACCTACCACTGGGATTCACTTTTGGCCTACCAGCATTAAACCCTTAAAAATGTTTGTTTGATTTACAGTTACAAAATGAAGATACTATAATTGGAACCGTTGAGATATCCTGGAGAAATAGTGAATATAAAAATAATACTAATGACGTGGCATATAAAGTGGCATAAATAGCAGTGGGCAGGAGTGTTCCAAGGTCTTCTGAAGTGTTCCTTCTGGGTTAAATGAAGAGAAATCATCAGACAGCACACACACAACTGACAAGCATGTTAACTGGTGGGACTTTCAGAGACTGGGGGAGTAGAAAGTTTTCGGGTCCTTCATTGAATATTCCTTTCTGGAATCATATAGAGTCAGCTTCCCTCCCCATGTATCCAACACTCATGTGGCCAGAATTAGCACCCTTATTCTCCCATGTCAGAAATCAGAGCTGAAGAATAATTTCTCATGGTGTCTGAGCTCCACGTATTATTTAGTTCAGACCAGCATAAATTAGTTTACCAAGGACTAGGCTCTACCACAGATAAGGGAGAATACCTATGTAAGCACAACATAGTGATTGGTGTAGAGGCTAGAAATTCTTTCATATATAAGCAGGCATAGGTTAATAAATGCAGTATGAAAAGCTGGGAAGTCAGAGAAAAATAAAAGAATAAGAGCACGAGGAGATAGGAGAGCTTAATCATTTACTGCTAGATGTGACATGACAAACGGCATCACCTACTCTCAACATTCTTTCAGTATTGATTGGATTTATAACTCATCTGTAGCCAGTATGCATGATATTCTGTAGAAGGCCATCTATCTCACTGGGTGGGAAACTTGCAGAGAATCTGAAAGAGTAACCTTAATTTATTAAACACATATTCCAAAGAGTGAACTCTGTTATACCAATTCCATCATCAAGCCAGACCATTAAAATTCTAAGGTTGAGAGTTTGGTCACTGACATTATTGGAGTTTACAATTATGGGTAGATGATGGACTGTTGACCGTACCCCTCATGCAGTCAATATAAATGGCATTATTATTATTAATATTATCATTATTATTAATATTTTTGGAGGAGTTTGAGGTAAGGTCTCGCTATGTAGTTGGGGCTGGTCTTGAACTCACTATTTAGGCCAGGTTGGTCTTTTTTTTGTTGTTGTTGTTAAATTCATTTATTGATACATTGTAAGTATACAACACAATTACATTTCTAATTGGGAATTGGACCTTTATATAATGCATCTTGGTTCTTATTTTTTCCCCATTCCTACCCCGCCCTTCACCCCCTCCA